CGCACATGCAAGAAACCTGGACAACTGGGGGGTATGCATGTGCATGTGTGCATGCCCTGGATGCCCGAGTTCTGCGTGTGCATGTGCCCACGCCCTGGGCAGCTGGGCTCTGGGCAGGGGGGTGGCTTGCAGCATGTGCAGCCTGGACACCTGGGTCCCCCAGGCATGGTTCACCTCCTCTCCCACCCCCAACTTTGCCCCCCAGGTGGATAACTCATCCCTGACAGGAGAATCGGAGCCGCAGACACGCTCCCCAGAGTGCACCCATGAGAGCCCCCTGGAGACGCGAAACATTGCCTTCTTCTCCACCATGTGCCTGGAAGGTGCGCCTCAGAGCCAGCTGCATCTCAGGCCCTGGCCGCCCTGCATGTTCTATGTGGCCATTCCCCAGCTGCTCTATCCCAGAAACGGCTGCATCTGGGCACCTCTTTTGCTATGTTATATGCAGGTGTTGACTCCAGAGTTGGCTGCCTCCTGGCCCCATTAACCTTTTCCTTACTCCCAGGTACGGCCACAGGCATCGTCATCAACACGGGCGACCGCACCATCATCGGGCGCATTGCCTCACTGGCCTCAGGTGTGGAGAATGAGAAGACACCCATCGCCATCGAGATCGAGCATTTTGTCGACATCATCGCCGGCCTGGCCATCTTCTTCGGTGCCACTTTCTTTGTTGTCGCCATGGTGATCGGCTACCCCTTCCTCCGGGCCATGGTCTTCTTCATGGCCATTGTCGTGGCCTACGTGCCTGAGGGGCTGCTGGCCACTGTCACTGTGAGTGTCCCTGCCCCCTGCCTCATCCTATGGGATCCATCCCTGAGGTGGCTGTATCTCAGCCTCCCAGTGCGATGTTATAGGTGGCTGTTGTGCTGGGAGATGCAACTAGTTCTGGGGTGCAACAGCCACCTATAACGTTGCACTGGGAAATGCGACCTGCTCCAGGATGCATTGTTATATGCAGCCGTTGCACGTCAGAGCCAGTTGCATCTCCCAGTGCAATGTTATACACAGCTGTAGCAGCCCAGAGCTGGTTGC